TTTTTTAAATAAGACAAGATAGTAAAACCTGTTGGTCCTGACTCACCTGCAGCTTTTATTGCTCTTCAGGCTAGCAAAAGAATGATGTATATTTTACCTGCATATTTTTTGTCAGTTTAGATTTTCGACTTAATCATATGAGAGTTACAAATAGAAAAGAACATTATTTTGCATTTAATATCAGGAGATATGGATGTTTGGGTCTCTTTTTGAGGTTTAGATGAGATTTGTCAGGAAGTGATAAAGGAGTGCAATACCAACAGAAAAAATTCTAAATCTAACTTAAGGGTCATGTTTCATAAGGTGCTGGCAGTAATAGCAAAAGGAAATATTTTATCTTCACCTCCATGTTGAAATGGTTCCTCTGTTTCAGAGGAATCTGTTGAAACAGAAATGGCTACAGAAGCAGGTGAAGGATTGTGTTTGCTCTGTGAAAAATAAGATAAAGTAAACATTCTTTATCATTCTCAAGTGTTTGTTTTCTACCTTTTTAACACAGTCCTCATGGTTAATTTAGCTGTGTACAGATTATGCTAAAATAAATTACCCTATCTGTACTGGGGAATCTTAGTTTTACATCTCTGTCAGATACAGTCATAATGCAGTGCAAGAGCAGACTGTTTCAGATGGTTATTTTTAAAAATGAAGATAATCCCTCTGCTGTGTTCCAGAGGTAGGTTAAATGTCAGCTCTGTGTACTTAGTGGTGTTGGGTAAAAGACCTGATGTGCCTGATGATCTTTATCTCAGGACTGTCTGTCTGCTTGAGTTGGTTTTACGCGAATTCTCATACGATGGATGCAAGCAGAATAAGGCACACAGAGCAACAAAGCATCTTGATTATGTTTTTTTAAAAAAACTCTGCTATCTTAAGTACTAGTCAAAGAGAAATTTCTGTGGAACAGTGGTAGGGTGACAAAAACACCTCAGTGTGCATACAAAGCGTTACGGGAGACCAGTCAGTGATAGCAGGACATGTCTGAAAGTGTGCTTGCAACTTCTAGGCCATCACATTGATTGGTTTTTGTCTTACTGTTCCAAATATTTTGCTTGTTCTGTTCTTCCCAAGTATTAGTATTTCCTATTTGTATGTCATCATTTGTTATGGCGAATCCACTCATTTGATTCTCAGAACCATTCAGCTGATAAGCTCTCAAGCTTATCGAGTTAAAGCTTCCTGTCTGTAAACAACCTCTTGTTACTTAGCCAGGTATTTTACTAATGACCAGCTTTTCACCCACCGCTGCTGGATTAAGCAGACATGATACCAAATGTTGAAGACCAGATAAAAGAGTGAACTTTTCTAGCCAAATGTAGTGCAGTATATTGCATTAACAGAAACCGTAGACCATAAATTTAGTCTAACATCTTTGGCAGACCTATGCTCTCATAATCTTGTGTCCTGCTGTCTTTAAAAGTTGTTCAAAAAACTTTTCATGCTGCTAGGTGAGGAGTATCATCCTTTTTTCCCCAAGTAGTGTTTTGGATTTTCTTATAAACAAAATAATATAATATTATAATAAAAATAATAATTACAATAACAATTATAATAATAATTTGGTAATTTGAAAAATTGCACATTAATTTCTTAGAGATTTTGAATTTGCTTCCACATCAGCTGAGAGAATTTGAAATTACTCGTCCATGGTGATTTCTCTTTCTTGTCTTTGTTCCAAGAAGTAGTACCATTTACGTGCATTAACATGAGAAGTTTGCCCAGTTTGACTGCGAGATTGTTGCACATCTCTAGTTATAGTCACTCTTTGGTTTGTAATACCGTCTTGAGCCCCTCACCTCCCAGGGTTTGTACATCCAAATCTTTAGTTTCTGATTGAGTCTCCTTTTTCTGAAATTGGAAGTCTGGTTCCAGATTACTGGTATTTAGTGTGTCATTTAACGTAACAATCTGACCGCAAATACGAAATGGTTATTGAGACCAGTTCATTTCAAGTCTGTTGTTATTTATAAAAGCACTGTGTAAAATCTAGAGTGTTTTCTTTATATACAGGAAACTTGTTTATAGATGCGTGATAAGACTCTTCCTCGGCATTTATAACTGGATGGGGTTTTACGCCAGTCCTTTTCATATACACTTTCATGCTGTGTCCTACTTTAATTCCTTTTTCTTTTCCCTTCTCCTGTTTTATTTCCTATAACTGGTCAAAAATTACGAAAGGTTTTAGTATCTTGATATTAAGATTGCTTGTTCATCTCAGCTGAGACTTTATTTGTTCAATGTGTTCTGTTGTTTTTTTTCTTTATGCCTCTCATCTTGCTTGGGGATGAGGAGTGTAAAAAGCAATAATATTATTCTGTGGAGGAAGAAAGCTATTTTTGTCTTCATTATTATGATTAAAAATTGCAGATATCTGTTGACTAACACTGGTCTAAATTGTGGGACCTGAAAAAGGATGAGTCTTACTGTAACCTCCTAAAAATGCAAAACCAAATCTGCAATAGATTATTAGCGTGAAGTCCAAATTAAAACAAATCAATTAATGATTAGGAATTTTTTTTGCATTTTCAGTCTGTTTAGTACCTGTAGTGAGTCTGGCTCTTTGCTAAGGCTAATCAAAGCCATACAAAGCCAGTCATAGATGGAAACAGCTTGCAAATTTGCTGTCTCTTGGAACCACCTTGGAGAAGAAAGAATGAGGAAGAAAATTACTTGGTCAAGTTGAAACCCTTGACCTTCTGTACAGTAGAAGATACCTAAAAGAGAAATAAGGATTATGGACCTTGTGCTTTATTTCCACTGATGATTTCTATTGGAAATAAGTTTCTCAGAAATTCAGAAATTTCTGGTAGCTTTTGTCTTTGTTTCTCATTTGCATCTACAAGTTGCTGTAGGTAGTTTATTAAAAAAAAGGCAAATCAAGGAGATAGCTGGTAGTATGTGAATTACCTCAGCAAGAACTGTGGGGAAGGGCTAAAATTTTTGATAAATTTTATTTGTGAATTGTAATGAAGGCTGACTCAAAATGCAGTTCTTTGTCCAGTTCCCACTTAATCACCTGACAACTTTGATTAAGATGCAGTGCTGAGATCAGACCTAGCATAAATTTTACTTTGAGGAGTTAATCTCATCACTCTGTTCTACAGCTTGCTTAATTCATGGTTCTTTATATCATATATTTGGTGTTCCAGAAAATAGAGTGTTTTTTAGCAGTTGCAGTAATTAGCAGGTAGAATAGCACACGGCAAAAAATAAGTGAAAGACTGCATAAACGTCTGTGAAGTATTGAAGGAATTTTGTCTTCTTGAGTAGACTCTGCCAACTCTTATTTTTAATGAAGATTGAGTGATATTGTAATTTTTCTGTGCATAAAATCTTCTAACATGTTAACTAATTTAAAGTATTGTAGTCACATTAATTAAATGTTTCAGAACAACCTGATGTGTATTCGTTTGGACAAAGTGTATTCACAGGCCTTGGATTTAGAAAATAAATTTAGTACAGAGGAAACAATAAATCAATGAATAAGCATGTGTAGGATAAAGAGCACAAAGAAAAACAATTATGTTGTGTGCTTTAGACAATATTCTGGCCTTCTATATTTGAGTGGATTGAGAGAAGGTAATTTCTTATTTATTTTGCAGGAACTTAGTGTTTTAAGGGCTTTAGAAGGAATGTAATTTAAACTGGTATTTCAGAGTCTTTTGGTTGCTACTATTGCTCTGCTCCCTTTCATTTTACACCAGAGAGAACTTTTATGTCTGTGTTGTATATTATGCATAATGGTTTAAATTGCGTTGATGTATAATTTAACCTTATCAGATAGTTACGCTGATGGTCATCATGTAGAAACTTGAACCAGACACTGTTTTAGGATTGACATGCTCTTCTATCGGGTGTGCATTTAGTCTAAGAAATATAAATGTAATAGAGGAGCAGGGCAGAATACCTTGTGCATTAATAAGCCGCGTTTAAACTTGAACATTTGGGAGCTTGAATGTACGTTTAACCTTCTAAATTTGGTGTGAGTCAGGAGTGTTTTACTGTAATGTAAATCTTTTACATAAAGTAATTATCTTCCCACTCTGTGATTGGGAAATTTACTTGAAGTCTGAGACGTGAATAAAATGTCCACCTACCTTGTGAGTCTAGTCTATATTTTAGTTTTGGCTTATAAAACCGACGTGAATAGAAGAAGAGGCATTCATCACTAGTTTTGTAACACTACAGTTCTTCAACTTCTATTTCTCGTGCTATTGAATGCTGCTATCAGATGTCGTAAACAGATTGATATGCAAAGGACATTAAAGACTTTAAATACGTGAAAAGGAAGTAATCTTTCTACACAGTTTTCTATTATGCACCATAAAGTTCACCAATATAAAGGCTACAGGTTAGCTTCGATATGAAAAACGCAATAGAAAGCTTTAGCAGTAGATTTTGGCTTTTAAGGACTGTTAAGCCACCTACTTTGACTGCGTGATTCTCCCCTCTTGGCGCTTCCCTTACGTTACCTAAAGATCATCCGTGGCATACTATTCCAGGTGTAGCCTGTGTATCATTGTATGTTGTATAGATAATAATTTTTCAATGCATTATGAAGACAGGAAGCAACATATAACTTATTCTGACTACTATAGTTCTTAACTTTGTGTCATTCAGTTTGATCAGATTTTCCATGTGCATTGATTAAATCAAAAAAAAAGATGACGTATTTCTACTTCAGGAAGGTCTTAAAAGCAGTGAACATTGAAACAGGAGTCATTCACCAGCTGTCTATCTGTGTGCTGAAGATGCCATCAATAATGCAGAAGATAACATCTCAGAGTTGAAAGTACAGTAGGATTGGCATCAATTTTGCTTAATAGAGCATCATACGCAAACTAGACAGTGCTACCTGAAGCACTGACAGCATCCATTACGTTGGAATGTACACATCTCTTATTTGAAAGTGTTGTGTAAACTTGACAACATTTTTACCTTGTTCTTTCTGAAGTCTGATTTCAGTTGCACGGCGATTAATATTATTCTTCTTCTGTTCTCAGAGGGTGATGAGACGGGAGTGATGGATAGTCTGCTTGAGGCCTTGCAGTCAGGAGCAGCGTTCAGAGATCGCAGGAAACGAACACCAAGAGGTCAAGGTAAGGATCCTTTCTGAAAACTTTTGGTTATCAACATAGCAGACAAATTAGCTTTGCCAAGATTTGCCAACAGTTTTCACTGAAAACCGTTGAGCTACTGTTGGTCATTGAGCTACTGTGAAAACTCAACATTCTACCTTTAAATAATTACGAGCCCTAAGGTACGACAAGAGTTCCTGGTGTGTTTGAAATGGTGTTTTAAACATTGCTGCACCAAGTATGGTTCTCTTAACCTTTAAAACCATAAATATAATTAATTTACTGTAGATGATGCTGTGAAAAACATTAGATTCTTACACCAGTAAGAGTTTGGGCATATAGCTGGAAGTCTTTTTCAAGCCCTGGTCTTAGATATGTTCCGGTTTGGTTGGAAGGTATAGTTACAATAAAGTAGCTTCACTGCCTTGGGTGGGACAATAGTATTGCACTCAGTTTAGTCTGATTTACTGGTTTAGTCTGAGCAATTATTACTTGCTTCAGATTTGGTTTTTAGAAGATTTGAAACAATTTGAGAAACTGCAGTCTTGCCTCTGTTTACATCTTGTCTGCTTGTGGTATCCCTGTTACATAGTTTGTGAACTGCATTTACTTTTCATCAAAGCTCATGGTAGTATACTGTATTTTGCAATTTGTCATTTAAAACCTGTCAGCGTATAAAATACAGGCTTAAAAATTTACAGTTGAAAAATTATAGTTATTTAAAATCTCAAGCATATGTTGGACACGTGCTGCTAAAGGTTTGGCAAAATGGAGTCATCTTACTTTGTAAGTAAGCCGTGTTTACGTCATCCTCAGGGAGGTAGGTTTTAGAATCATATTGGGTGATTATTTTTTTAGAGGAACAGAATTCTAACACTGTCTTTCATCTAGCTAGCAAAGATGGCTTGTAATTATATTTCATTTGCCATATGCCCGATCTTGGGAAAAAAGTAAAAGTTATGTAATTTGTTCATACTAAGAAATTAATTCTGCTACAGTTCAAATATCGTTCTTAATTCAGAGCTTGTTTCTGCTCTCAGATCAGACGTGAAAGAACTCCTCGATCAAAATGTGCTTTTTTCCATATCTTGAGAAATATCAGTGTGAGAGATGGTCTTTCTGTGTTGTGGCTTGAGGAGAAATTTGTCACCCCGTAGTGACAACTTCCCAGGGACCAGAGGAGATGGTGCAAAAGCTGCAGCTGAGAAAGCCAAGGAGCAGACTGAACCCAGTTACAAACCCAGTGACTCCTGTTCAACAACAGGGGCCAGAGATAATTTAAAAATCTCTTGTATTTCTCTTCTGTTTTGTATAGACACTTTGACTTTCATGTGTTCGTGTTTCATGTCATTGTGTCAGTTGATACTGTAGTAGGATTTGGCTTTTAAATTAATCAGTTGGTTGACTTTGAGGAACTTGCTGTGAGAAGAGGTCTAGGTAATCTGCTTTCAAGCTCTGGCCAGATGTAAGTCATCTCATAAGTGAAGACCATTATATAAAGTTTTCAGGGGGTACCTAAAATTTTAGCCAAGAGGTGATAGATATTAGTCCCAGTCAAGTATGTGATTTTAAACTATTATTTAAATTTTCTCGTGTGATGTAGGAACATACATGACATCTAGCCAGTAACTTACCTACAAACCAGAAGATAATAACACGACTACGAAATATCTAAGTGAATTATAGGATTACAAAAGCGTGTTTACAGACTTCCATATCTCTCCATACAAAATGGAAGAGCCCATGACAGCTTTCTCATTGGTATCATCAAGAGACTCTGACTGCTCTGGAGAGTTTCATCCAGTGAGATTTTAGTGAACAGTTAACTCCAAACCTCCTATGGTTCGACGGGAGGAAGAAAAAGTGAATAATTTCCATGGAAAGAAGAGGTTAGGGGATTTCTGGGCTTGCTGGGGCTTGTGATTGTGCTTGACAAACAGATAGCAAATGGTATAGTACTGTCTAAACATGGTGCGCAGTGTAGGACTTTTCTGTATGTTACGGATGACTTGTTGCACTGCCTCTGTAAGTAGCGTGTGTTTTTAACATACAGGAGAAAAAAAGAGAAAAAAAGGTGATGCAGTTTTGAGAGTTAGACTTATGCAGCAAGGTTTTGAGCTTGAATTTGTCTTGGTAGCCGTCATGGCCTGAGAAGAAAAAATGTTTTCTGCCTGTTTGGACACAGATTTCATATTTTTGCTTCAGTTGTAGCTGGTATTGTAGATCTAGTGAGGAGAAAAAACTTACTTTTGCTTGCTTACTCTTTGCAGTTTTATTAATCACTTGGTAAAGTGTGGCCTGTACTGAAAGCCCCAAACCAAAACAAACTATTAGAACACAAAAAAGAAAATGCTCCACTCCCCCAAATGCACAGCCATACAGTAAGTTCACTTGCATTCCTTTTCGTGCATGTGCTCTAGATCCATCTTACTGAAAACCTACTTATTCTATTTGCGTCTACTTGGCACGAAAATTAAACCTGTGGAAGGTTACAACCCTCTCAATGGTTACAACCAGTAGACCATGAAAATACGGCTTTTCTTATATTTTCTCCAGTGTTTCATAGAGTAAATTTAACTCAGAGGATCAAACTGTGTAGCATCACTACCAGTGGCGTTCTTGATTACTTTGACTCGAAAAAAAACCCCACAGCTGTCCAACAGAAAAACCTCTGCAATTACACGTGCTCAATGCTGGGTTTGAGTGAGTAGGTTGGACGGAGGCGGGATCACTTCATTTGGAGAGCAGAGCTCCAGTTGCTGTAGGGCTACAAGGACCCCACAAGAGTGTTGTTCTGTCAAAGATACATGTTCAGTTAATCTTTTTTACGGAGGTCAGTGCTGTGCCTTTGTAGCATATGTTTATGCTTGTACACAGGGATATCTTTAAAATATTTAAAGAGACAGACTGACTGGACAAGATGTGGAGTTAGGAAGGGCATGGTGCTCTGTTTGTTTAGATCGGCAGTCCGACATAACGCAGGACTACTCAGTGTTGCAGTTTTCACACCAGGCAAAATCAATCAATTGGTGAAGTTTGTTTGGAAAAGTAAAACTCATTTAAAAGGTTTTAATTGCCTTGGTTTTGTTTGTTTGCTAAGCCTGTAAATGAAAAGCTACACTTTAATGGGTTGCATTATTACTGTAGGCTTTTCCTGTAAAATTTTTGTTATCAGGCCATGGAAGTAAAAATAAAAAATTCCTGTTCTCCTCCCCTAATTTGTCATTTCATTTTACTCTTATGTATTCTTTGTTATGTAGACTTTTCAATATGAAAAAGATTTCTGTGTGGTTATTCTGTCTATAGCTTATTACTGTACCTCTGTGTTTTCTGGCTACTAGATTTTAAGTATAGAGGTCATCCTTTCGTAGATTGCCTTGCTTATAGAGGCTATAAAATAATAATTAGGAATCAGTTTCTAGAAATGTTGCTTCCTCTTCCAAAAATAGACTTGCAAGTTCGCTAATACTGGAATGAGAGTATAATAAAGAGCAGTATTAGGTGACATTCATCACCGGGTGCCAGTTTCAAGTGTGTGTCCAGCACTACTGTTGCACCAATTATCCCTGACCTTTTTTCCTAGCCTTAGGCTGTGATATTATTAAAGAAGACTGATTCAGGAATATTTGGTCTCTAATATTAGTTTAAGCAAATTTCTGCATGGAGTTAACTATTCTGTTAGGGTACTTTATTTTAAGCTGCTAAATTTCTTGTCATAGAATTTAATTTTTTGGAAATGTTGATAACTAGTGCCCTCCTCTATATATCCAAACTATTGCAACTGCAGTAATAATCTGTGCCATCATTTCACTACCAGGAATGCATAGCTGCAAGGAACATACATGCAGGTTCCTTCTGCTTCAAGTTTCAGTGTAAAGTATATTAATACGGTCTCATAGTACGCATGGAAGGAGTACTGTGAGATTGCGTAATAGGCACAATTTAGGAACTTCTCAGTTTGGCGTTATTGAGAGTTCCTACACTGTCATTATTATTTTCACATCAGCATTCCCCCTTGAGAGGGAAGGAGAAAGAATGAACCTCCCTTGATCAGACATTTCCTTTAGTTTAAAGTTATTTTTTTTAAAATGAGGAAGTAGGTGCATATTTTATGTAAGAATTCTAATAAAAATGTTAGAGTTTGAGGAATTTTATCTTCTGCTTTAAGTCATAGCTGTGCTTGAAATGAAATCTGACTTCTATGTTTACCTTTGCATTGATCATATTAAATACACTCTTGAGAGTTAGGTAGATTTCTGGGTGCAGAGCCACTGTTTACCTAAAACATTCTCAGATAAAAATCTTCAATCAAAGCCTATCTGCTTTACTGAAAGCATTGTGAGTTTGTATGTGGCAGTTTTGTAAATAAACCAGGTTTTGACATACTTGCGTCTTTCTGTGAACTGATGAGACTTATAAGTGCTAAAATCCAAAAACGTGGTAGATGCACTTTTAACAGATCATGATTTGCGCTCGACTAAAATGGTGTTTGAGCAGCCTTGTTTGCTGTCCTCCAGTTCCATAGTGTGTCATCATCTTTAAGTGTCTGTTATGAAGATAGAAATATTCATAATGGACTACAAAATTGGTAGTCTCAAGTTAAAAAAACCCTATATTTATCTGAAGCATATTTGGTCACCTTTTTAAACATCTCATGGTAAAGAACTAATATTCCTATTGCTATGTTCAGCATCTCTTAATTTTTTGTTATTTTACTTTGAGAAGCTGCGTATTTAAAAGCATGTTTGCTACCTCAGTTATCCAATGGAGGGTTTTTACTTACACTCAGGAGTTTTGGACTAATAAGACTTACACGTATGATCTACGTGCTTCAAAATTATCCTGATTATAACAGCAAGAGCTAAACAAGATCACTAATAATAAATTTATTGGGTTTGCCGTCACGGTTTTATTGGGAGATTTAAGTTTGCTTTTATTTCTAAATATAAATATGGGCTGTATAAGGAAAACCTATTTATAGTACTGTTCAAATCAAGTCTTAGCAAATTACCGTACAGAGC